ATATTTAAATGAGAACATTTTCTAAAATGAGAACATTTGAGAACATTTTCAAATTAGACTAATACAAAAGCCCCCACCCCACTATGACGTCTCTCAATCTCTTATGAACTTGCACCACCCACTTAGGCCACCAGACCATTACCGGAGTCACCGTCCGTTGTCGGAATCGTCGGAGTGTCTGAATCAGCCAACTGTTTCCTCTTCCTTTTCTCCCGATCTAGCGGTTCCCTCCATCTCCACTCGTCTTCTCGTCGGAAATAAGCTATCTCCGCCTTTCCTCTTCCTGAAACGCCGCCCTGATACACCTCCTTGAATCAGTCGTGAAACCACCTTGTCGGCAACCAACTCCCTCTCCTTTCCTCTCTCATCTTGTTTCATCAGCCACCAGATTTGATTTCACCAGATCTGAAACAGAAGGCCACAAAATCAACTCGTCGGAAAACCAAGTCATCGGAAACTACCCCTCTCTTATCCTCTCTGATCTCGTTTCACTGGTCACCAAATTTTTGTGTTGGAATGAAAATGGGATCATCATACACTGATACTTCACATGGAGGTGGAGTTTTTTGTGTTGCACACCAACAGTTTGATGAAAGTCCTCTTAGAAATTTTTAGTAATTAGGGACTGATTTGACGATGACAAAAAGCTTTGCAAGGACCTGTTTTAAAAAGTTCTTAATTTTGGATGAATTACATTTCGTTTGCCAAAGAGTGGCCGGTGGCATCACAAATCTGTGTAGGAATCTTTTATTCTTTTTGTTATTCATTTTGCATCAACTAGACTTGAACCAATGCTACTTTCTCTAAAAAAAATATTTGGTGATGGATCAATACTAGAAGATAAAATATATCAGTTTTTTTTGTTGGTCCATCTTATAGAAGTTTCTTTAATTGCTATGGAGGAGGAACTAATCTACTAACACTACTAGAAAAAAAGGCTTTCCTTGACAGACGAATTACGACGAACACTTGTGTTATGACAGACAAAAAATGTTTATTATAAAAATTTCAATAAAAATTTGTTGATTTACTACCGAGAACTAGGCATCCAGTAGATCAGTACTGTCTAAAAAAGAAAAATAAATAAAACACGCGTTAACGTTTTTTCCCCATCGTGTTTATTAAATAAAAATTGAAATTGATTATGACTTTCTCTCTCCAACCTTTCCCTTCCTCATCGACTCGCTCTGTGTATTCATCAAACAATCACACTAATCGCTCGGCGTATTCATCGTGAAGAGTCTCAGAGATATCGACCGACCACTCGCCATTGTCGCCGCTAATTACGCATAATGATATCGACCGAAGAATTTAGGGCTTCTTCTCTCGTACGCAACACCGTAACCACATTGTGATTTAGGGTTTCTACAAATTGAGGTATTAGTCTTAAACATCTCAACATTTTAAGCCTACAATGATCTTACTCAAAGGTTTTGGGTCTAACATCTTATTCATGGGCATTGTCATTCTTTTTTTCCTTATTAAAGAACTTAAGATAGAATTCGTGAGGCATGTGACAGATTTGCAATTTGGTTATGTTTTATGCCATTGTAGAATGGCTTAATGAAATATATGTCTCCTTCAATTGGTGCTGATATGATGATCGATCAAGATCCATACTTTTTTTATTTTCTCAAAATTAGATGCTTTTACCATAAAGCATGGTTTTGGGTCTGAACTCAAGAGTACAACAGATAATGTTTTATCTGCTTTAAAAAGGCATTCCACTGTTTCTCAACATAAGAAAGTTTCTAGCAAGAATTTTTTTGGGTGGAAACAAAGATTATACATCTAATAGTGAAATATTTGGAGAAAACAAATATGATCATCCTTGTTGCTAGAGCTTATCAATATCATACAACAATTGTTGCAGATCCTTCTACTATGTGGTGCACAAGGGCTTGGGAAACAACACTTGCACATGTGGCTGCTAGACATTGTGGACATCGTATGGTGGAGATTAATACTAGTGATGTCAGGTCATCCTCTACAACTGAAACCAAAATTCTTGATGTGGTTCAGATGAACTCTGTCATGGCTGATTCGAGGCCAAAGTGTTGGGTAGGTTATACCGCACATTACTATTATGATTTTCTATTCTGGGTAAGAATGTAATTTATTGAAATTAACCTTTTTTTCTCTTAGATAGTTAATGAAATTGATGGAGCTCACCGGTGATGGTAAAGGGATAGTGGATGTAATTTTAATGATGGTAAATCAAGCTTTTCTTTAACCTAATATACACATTTAATCTCCTAATATATCGTTTTATTATTTTTTTTTTCAGCTTTTCACACAAGTATGTTTATATGGCTTACAATTATCGATGCATACGAGATCTGATAGTGGGACAAAAAATTTTGTTAAACTGAACAATCAGGTAAGACATCCTCAAAGAAGAAGAGAAAGGATACTCCACTTTTAAGACCTGTAAGACCAATTTACTTATGTAGTTATGTGGTTATTCCATGGTTTACTCTTTCTTATTTATTTAATACACATGGGTTGTCTTTATTTACAGGCAATTTGTGTTTGCAATCACCTATATACCCCTGCCTTGAGACCATTGCGTCAAGTAACAAATTAACTTTTATCTTAGTTTATTAATCTTCATGTATTATTCAGATTTCAGGCTAAATTATTGACAACACATTTAAAAATTGCAGGATTCTTGTATTTGTTCGGCCAATAGTAAATCGTATTGTCAACAGGTGATGATTTACATAGACAAAGTAATTAAATGGTAATAAATCACAACTAATCTTAGATTTTTTGTTTAATATTTAGGCATAAGTGCATATGCAACAAATAAGTTATGAGGACAAGTTCGATTTCACTTACTGCACTGACCGAATATACTGGTACATTGTAGAAATATCTATACTCTCAACATATAGTTTATGCTAATAAAACCTTGATAGTGTAGTAATGGGAAAATATAGAAAAGTGGTTATCACTTAATCTATATTTATATATCTATTTTTTTTCTTTTTTTAGAATGTGACATACGATCATACTTGAATACTCTATAGTTCCTCAACAAAAAGAAAGAAATGCCTAATGTGGTATGTGGACTTCACCTTGTTTATGTTGGATTAGTGTCTAAGTCCATAACTATTTTGGTATGTACTTGACCCGATTATGAGCATGGT